AGGTTTTGTGGTTACTTATTGAATAATACGCTCGCTGCCTTTCGCATTGTCCTTCACTTTAGTGAGCTATTGGATGTGGATCCGTGATGTACTTTGACTGTATGTTTGGAATGCGCCATTGAACTAGTCTTTTCTTCATTAATACTCATACAATACTGTCCAATTCACTTTATCAAACGTGCACAAAGGATCATGTCACTATTGCAAGATGCACTTTATGTCATTACCTTACTTATTTAGAGCCCTGTTTAGTCTCCATTTTCTAAAATTCCTTGAATTCATTTTCAATCACACATTTCATGGAACTCAAACAAGGGCTTAGTCCTCAATACACTTGGCAGCGACGTACTTTTTCATAAATGGGAAGCAAGACTTGAATTCGCGATCTTTGATTTCTTTGCTTAAATCGTTAAGCAAGGCGACACATTTATTTTACAAACGAAAAGCCTTTGGAGTGTGGAAAAACATATGCTCTTAATAAGTGCCGAAACTCATTTCTACATTAATATTTTCATCCAAGACGAGTCACATTGTCCATTACGAGACGAATCACCGTGTTAGCTGGTTCGCATGTTTTCTAGTAGACTTCATTCTTCAGATTCTGATGGCAGGTCTTCTTTAAACCAGTTATATAGCCCTCCTTCTAAGTGATAGACATTAGTATAACCATTGAGAACCAGCAAGTAAGCTGCTATGAGTGACCTGCACAAAATGTTAGAGATTAAACATTTCTACTCATTTCTTTCATTTACTATATGATGGAAGTGACATGATCTGTTCTAATTGTTAAGGATCTAGTTGTTTTATTACACTTGGCTTTACAATTCGTCATGGTTACTTTCTTGTGTCAGTGCTTTACATTTATGGCCATAAATTATAAGTAGCATGAAAAGCAGAAAAGAACCTTGACTGTTGGCCTTCTGGAAGATTTTGTGATGGCTTCATAGTTCCTCCGGCCGAGCAGGCAACAATAATCTTCGCACTCTTATCAATTTTCGACTCCAAGCCTGCTTGCACAAGCCAAAGAATTCTTTGATTACAAAAAAAATTACTATTGTAAGCAGGACAGATAACAAAAGTATAAATATCATATGTATATATCCCACTTCGGATAAACTCAGGATTCTCTTCTGTTCCAGAAAAGATGCCAAAAAAGGCAAATGCAGCTCGCCTAGCTATGTCCCAAGCTGTCCACTCTTTTATAAGCCTATATATTTGCACGTTAATAGCACCCGGTGGATGAGCCTACATCATCAAATGATCACAAAATGAGCACTGCCTGAATGCAGCAGTTTCAAGGGCATGCTTCAGTTCTTTGTTATGATTCAGTTACCTCTTTGAACTCTGCCTCCGGCCGTACATCAAGAATAACAAAGTTATTTTCTTTCTGAAGCCGCAATGCTTCTTTAGCATCCACACTCCTTACCTGCAGAAGTTCGACTTGTCAATTATCTCGAGTGAAGTCTAAGTGGGCAGAAGGAAGTACCCACATCTTCATTTCTAATCTCCAGCATCTGTTTTTCATTATTCCTTTGAATATATACTTGCGGGTTTATCATTTTCAAATGAAGCCTAAGGTGTATGATTCATATGAGAGATAGGACTCCTTTACCCTTTTCTCAAGTAGAAGCTGCCGTTTGATCTTCCATTCTTCTTCAGCTGATTACTCGAAAAGGAGAGAAACACAATAAGAACATGGCCAGAGTACTAATATCGAGTAATATTGATGTAAATTTCAATGAAAAGATAGAAATAAGATATACCTGGTGATTTTGCAGGTTTTGTTGCTGCATTCTGAATTCTGAGTCCTCCACAAATGCTAGAGCCAGTTCTTCTGCTGGAATATCCAACGGCTTTTGCAGTAAAACAAGAACTCGACTCACGATTTGAATTCGAATGGTAAGCAAGAGCAGAATAATGGAATTTATGATATAAAGAGGAGGAAGAAAGAGCAGCCATGATCTTCAAAGTGAAAGAATTTCTTCAACAGGTGCTAATGAAGGTAATGCTTTTTCCTTTCTCTGCTGCACTGAAGATTTTTTGAATGTCTAGTGAGGAAATTAGTGGGCCATGAATAGAAGAAAACTGAGGATATTTTAGCTTCCTCACAATCTGAACTTGTGGCGCTGCTTTATTGAATTTCTTCCTGTTTGGATTTCTTTGATCCCATCCATTTGTTTTTAAGTCAGCAGGATAAAATCTATTCCTGATCATACTTGAAATTGATCTTTCTACTTTCACCTAGTAGAATAGAGGTGTAAATCCCCCGGCCTAAAATCACTCGGGCTCTACTGGAAATCATATTTTTATTTTGTTATTCATACAAAAATTTATATGCCAACCTTTCAAAATAATTATTTATTATTGACCAGTGTGACTCATGCTAGGCTGGGCCTATGGACTTTTTTATTTTATTTTATTTTTTAATACCGACCTACACTGGCTGCTGGCCTCTCTATGGTCGAGCATGGTCACAAGCCAGACCAATCTTCTAACATATTTGGATGGCTCGTCACATCGGTCTTACGAAAAGATTAAAGAATTTGATCCCGTCGATTAAGGTTTCCTATTATTATTTAAGGAAGAACATAGATATGTGTCACGAAGGACATGAATCCGCTCCTAATTTATTGTGGTGAATTCATGTATCAGTAACATGTGCCATGATGCTTGTGAACAAAAGGGAGCCACAGCTCTAATTTGATTATCTTCTTATAATTACTGTACCTCACAAGACACATTAATTGCTTGATCTACAGTATTTCAATCTTTAACTGCCTCATTTAGTCCTATACACGTGACCCGCTATTAGGAACAGAATTGCAATAACTAAATGATGGTGTGCAATATCGGTCGGCCATAGTGGTGAAACAAAATCTCTCTCATTTCTCCCTTGAATAAATTGTTTTTTTTCCCAAGCCAGGAAAAATAGATTAGATATAAATGAGTACAAACAAAGAAAAAAAAGGGAATGCTTTTTTAAGTGTAACCTGATCGCAATATGTATGATCATGACTTTTCCCAATAGATGAATTAATCTTCAATTCATTTCGCCTTCCCGACTAGTGAATCATTAAGATTCATTTGAATGGACCCATTCATAAACAATTGGATGATGAGAAAATGATCAACAATTGAAGTCCTGTCATCTCATTAACTTAGCTTAAGAATTCACCACTCAAATAATATATAAAATAACCATTCACTCAAAGTAAGTAATCACAACGCTTTCAATAAAGTTACAGGGAGCAATACTCCATGATTATACAGGGAGCAATACTCCATGATTATGTATAAATCCTCGTCGGTATTTTAAGCAATGTTGTAAAATGCACGCATATGCTTTGCATATACTTGCATATGCTTGATGTATTTTCAAAACGCCTCATATATGAGGTATGTGCATGATAATACAGTCAATCCAATTTGTAGATCACATATACATGTTTAAATGACAAAATGTGCCTGCATTTGTGTTAAAAATTATATCAAAATTAGCCTAACAAAATCCCACCCATTTTTAGAACTTAAAAAATTAAAATTGAGCCCAACAAATATTAAATTAACCCAAATCATCCGATTTATGAATTATATACAACAATGGTAGGGTTTTGATGTTTAGAAAAAATTAATAAAAAAAAAAAATTCATATATATCCAGGTCGGAGCCTCCTCCTCCATCGCCCTTTCTCTAATTTTACTAGCAAGTGATGCTAATAATGAACAAGCTTCAATTGTTGATGGTTGTGATGATGAGAATGAGGTTAACAATGATATCGTACCTTCTTTTCTGTTAGGCAGATAGTGTTTATCTTTATGATTCTCGGTTATTTTTCTTAAAAATCTTGGGTTCATGTAAAGCATCCCTATACGTCCCAATTCTGATGGTCGACAATCAAAACTTGATTCCAAATTATGTAAATTATATTGCAATAACTTACCAATTCGATAGGATGAGAAATTAGTTTACATAAATGACTATAGACAGAGCAATAAATATTGAAAATTCACTAGATTCGGCTTTCGATTGAGAGATCACTACTGCAGTCGGCTTCGTTTAGCATGTAAAGAAGCTGCTTCCAAATCACCAATGAAAAAGAGGATTCTGTCCAAAATACTTGAACAGGGTTCCTCTTCAGACTTTGTTCCCGAGTAGCCATTCTCCGAATTCAACGAGTCAAATGCTCTTGCTTCCGATCTTCTTGAACCCAAATATCGCTGAATTTCACCTTGATGAACTAAGTAATAATTGTCTCCTTCCCTTACAATGTTTAATCCCCTGAAATGAAAATTTCGAAAGTCACAAGGTATGATAAAATACTGCTAGTAAGCACCATACCCAGCAGTTGGAGTTAATCCAGGGAAGAAATGAGAATCACTACATTCACCCTTTTCTCGTTTCATGTCTAATAAATAAAGAAGCATACAAAGCAAATCGAATACCAACAAATTAAGACTTCTCTAATATAATAAATTTGGGAATGTATATACAAGTCCTTTTCTGTTTCTCTGTTTACTTCATTGCTAGATCTTCAAACCATATACCAGTAACATGGCTATAAATACTAACCATGCAGAAAAATGCCCACCCCTTTTTTTCCAAACTGCAATCCAAAATTATGTAAATCTTTATTGCAAACAAGGGAATTACTTTCCGATGCGTTAAATGTTGTAAGGCTGGCAGAATTCATGACATATAGCCAATCTCATACAAAAAGAAATTCTTGAAACATAAAATTTGAAACTCACAATCCAACTCGATCACATCGGTCTTGAACAACATAGACATCTTTCCACGACTTTGGATGCACCGGGGCATAGAATGTGGCGTTATCAACCCCCCATCTTTCCTTGAAGATATTAGACCATAACGCATTGTCTGAGGCCAACACACTCCATTTCTTGCATACTTCAACCACAAAAGTCTTATTGTTATATATTAGTGCATCGAAAGAGGACAAGTCGATACAGCATCTAATGCTATTTATATCATCACATAGAATAGTGATTACATTCAATGAATTACTTGGAGTTTAGAGAACAATTCGAAGAAGTATGCTGTCTAACAACTCAATGTCAATGACTCCGAATATAACTTTATTGTCATGTAATCACTAGTTAAATCCGGATTGAAAGATAAGAATTCGCATAAGCAGGGTGGATTTGAAATCAGTAATTTGTTCAAATTCAAATAATTCATGATCAAAGGCAACAGAATTTCAAAAACTGTATACATATAGATCCAAAAGATTCAGGCTTTGACAGTTTGATCTGCTAAGATTCAAATGACAAAGTGGGTGTTTGGTTGGGATCAAAATTAGATTTTGTAGTAGATTGTGATAGAAATTTTTAAAATTTGTGGTTGATCCATAATATTCATTGTTTGACTTTAACTTAAATTAAAATCAAATTTTAATCCGAATCAAACAAGTTCAAAAGATCAATCCACATGAAAGAACAGTATCCACCTTTAAATCTTCAGAACCTGATTAAAGAAAAAAACAAAGGATTCGTTCAAGGAAAAAATCAAACAATTTGAACGCAATTCCACAAACCCAATTCAGATCTTATCAAGAATTCATCATTCAAAACACAAAATCCATATGAATTCATATTGACAATTCCCAGAGCAGAATTGGAAACTAAAAATGGATCCAAGTTGATTTCTACTGACCCAATTGAGCAGTTGCAAGATTCTGATGATCCAACCAACAGAAAATTTTGAGACAAAGATCTGCTGGCAATCCGTCCATTTTACACCGATTCTTTTTTCTGGTTGTAGAAACTGTGATAATATAAAATTCTTAATTTCTGTTCCTTTTTTCTTCTGGTAATCCGTCCATCTATTTTGCTTATACGTGGACCTCGCCAATCTGGCCACGAGTGAATTTGACCGTAGCTCGTTTCGGACAAGCGGAGCGTTTCCCGGTCCTGACACGTTTGGATACGATAAAATTTTGATTTCAAATATTCCTTTCGTATAGGCTCTACTCGTGATATTCTCAATTTCGGTCTTTTCTAATCGAACATGGAGCCCCAACTCTAATAACAACTCTATCACTCAAGATTTGACCTAAAAATCATCCGAAATACTATTTGTATAGACTTTATTTCGAAATACCCCTTGTTTCTTGATGCTCCGAATCACATTTCTTACTAGAAAGATCTATCTGATAAGTTTTTAATTTATTGTCTAGCCGCCACATTAGCTTTTCATCACACGTGGAATTTTTCGTTAATTATAGGTAATTGATTTTGAGTGCCACATTGTCTCTTTATTCATATCTTGTATTTTGTGAAAAATGATATTGAGTAGCATTGTGCTCTTTTGCATTTGATCGCTTTAAACGTTTTCCTAAGCCCCTGTACGATGGCCACTATATTAAAAAAAAAAAAAAAATTAGAGAGAGAGAGAGAGAGTTTTGAATAGTAATTTTTAGAGAATGTATGATAAAAAAGAATAAAAAAAAAATTTACTTGTAAAATATTTTACAGTATAAATATATGAGAATGAAAATTAAAAAAAATTTATTTTAAAGAGAGATAGACAAGGACTAAATGTAACAATCAATAGAAAAAACTTCAATCGATCTCAAAACCATCGAAAACAGATTTAGAATAGTATCCCCTACTAATCTTTGGCATCTTATCGTACAAAATCACGTGCTATATCCAAATAATTGAATATAATTCTCCATTATGCTACCCAATCTAAGTTGACAATGGAAAAGATTGGTTTCGGATTCTTTTATCTTGATCATGAAAAATTGTTCCATATTCTAGTTAATAATGAACTTTAATGTGACACTATTAATTTCTTTTAACTTAGCTACACTTAATTAAATAAAAAAGTGTGATGAAGAAAACCTCCATGTAATCTATTTCAAATTTATTTATTCATTTATGTATATGAAATTCGATAAACTGAAAAATGATAAAAGCGTCTAAACGTGGGCAACGATGCTCTGTTTTTGTCATTCATTTGTCAAAATTATGAATGTTCGTGATTTTGACAAAATAATAAAATAAACTCGCACGAAAAAGGTTGACACTAAAATAAATTTTAAATAAAACAATTGTTCCACTTGATTGTATGCAAATAGTTAAACTTTTAAACGAGATAGTTAAATATACGATTCATCAATATAAATTTGGTATGCACAATTAGAAAAGTCTTAACAGTATAATTGAGAAAACTTTTACTTATTTTTCTATCTTAATACCCAAACATGTCTTGAAAGCCCAAACCATTTTTCTATATAAGGTGGGTTTTGCAGGTTTCTTCAAATTAAGTGATTCCTGAGAAGCGAGAAGTAGACACACATGGTGTGGTATTGGTTTCGGCTCATAATCATGCAGCTTCTGCAAAAATGAGCCGAATCAATATCACTCTTGTATGCTTCTTCTACACAAATTATGCCTTTTCTGCATCAAAATTAAGCAAACAGTTGCAGGCTATGCCAAAACCTTTTGCTTATAATACTCTTAACAAGCTGAACCGACCATCATGGCTACATAGTTCACCAAGCTGCTCTTTGGCCTTCGTCAAACCTCGGCCCAACCTAGCTCAGCTTGAGAACAGATTGTCCTTTGTCAATAACTCATCCACTCTCACCTAGTATGACGCGTGACACAAAAATTAGAACAGTTTCAGTCAACGATCATATGTTCAAATGTAGTTTTCCATCATGTACGTATGCAAGAGCTACTAAATGCACTCGTGAACGGTCTTCTTCTTCTGAAGCTTGCGAGCACAAATACGTATATATACACATTCTACTAGCACGAGTCAAATATCATTTTACAAGCACCTTAAGACATTTTAGTCTTGCTGCCCTCAAAATGAAAAAAACTTCTGCTGCAGAGTGAACAAGTGCAAGTGCATGAACAGGCACGAGTACACAGTCACATCCCAGCACGAGTCTAATATCAAGAAATGCATATTTTACAAGAACCTTAGAGACATCATCTTGGTGCCCTCTAATGCCATCTATCATTAGTTGTGATCATCACTAGTCTGGGTATAGTGAGTCCATTGATTCATCACTCAATAGGGTTGCGATAATTCATGTTGCTACTCTATCATGATTATGCTTTTTCTACTTTCCTTCTGATGTGAATGTGGGGGTTGGGGGAGGGGGGGGGGGCACATCTTGATCGCAAAGCACAACACCACAAAAGAGTAAACCAGATTCCAGTAGTCAGACCATCTAAGAATAAAAAGAAAAACATAATATTCCACAAATTGCTCAAGAACTGGCATACTTGCTTATCTAAAAGCATGAATGACTTGTACGGTTTAGTCATACACAACTCATTGATTCAGCATATTTCTTATGTATCCATTTCAACTGAAAAAGTAATTACTTCAAAAGTTTTACCTAGATCTCAATAATATTGTGTTCATCTTTCTCCGAGGCATAAATAATCTGTGTAATGACTCCAGGTCCTATAATCATTCATGCACCGCTTAAATAACTCGTTCTTGGCTTGAAATTACTACATTTTCTCCTAACACCATATACACAAAAAGCAAACAAGTCCATATGGAGGGTGTTCACTTAATTTTTCTGGAGTCGTATCATTATCATCAAAATCCTGAAAAGATCATATGGATCAACTTGAAAATACCTCAACACCAAAGAGTTTATCACAGAAATCTGGACAATAAATTATTCACGGAGAGTCCCTAATCACAGGGTAACAACTATGGATATTAATTAAATTGAATGGTTCAGTCACTCAGCCTCCCACAGGTTACATTTCCACAGATACAGACACAACATAAATCTTACATGCCCACACAAAACTTTTTTTATTAGGGGGGTAGAGGGGAGTGAGGTACCAAGTCTTGAACCCTTGACCTCAGTTCTAGAAACAACAATCATTAACCAAGACAAACTCGTTGTTGAAATTTAACTTTGGTAAATTATCTTTATTTTTTGTGTTTGTGTGTGTGTATTAATATATTATTTATTATTATTATTATTATTTTTACTTTTCAATAAAATTAATACTTTTTGAGCTGTGAATGTGAATTTCGCAGGTAGAATTCTTTGGACTAGAAGAATGGTTGGCAGTTATATCAAGATAACTTTGGGTTGTACTATTTGTTACTAGTGCCAATGAAACAAAAAATGCATATAGTGGATTATAATGATTAATTGGATATTTAACTTCAATAGAATTTAAAATAAATGACAGTAGAAATCATCAAACCAAGGTTAAAGGAAGTATTTTCGTAACTAAAAATGTTGGATATTTGGAAAAAGGGTAGTGAAGTAAGAGTACTTATTATTTTTGAGATGTCACTAGAAGATTCAAAAGAAAGACACCATACATAAAACATCTTATTTCATTTTATTCATCATTTTTACATGATTTCAGGTTGACAACAAAGTAATTACAAACAAAATTTACACATTTCTTAAAATGGATTTCCAAGCAAAATGAAACCAATTAAGATTTCCAACATTCAAGTAAGGCCTTGTAGTCAGACACAAAACTAAGATATTTAGTATAACAAGTGCACAAACAGCATGATACTTCATAATTTAAAGTTGAAGTAAAATATTGAAAAAATTATATTACTTGGTTTCTCTTGAGAAGTGTACTATTTCAAGATAATAAAATATTCTCACATATACTTAGGCATATTATCGAAACGAATCAAGTCTATACAAATACTGGGATAGCTCACAAACAGCTTTCGCAACTGGTGTTCAAGAAACCCACATGACAGATATGCCTGCCATCATTACTACATTGACTTAACGAGGAAGTGAAAACGGGTAAGCTCACCATTCAAAAACTAAAACTTAAGCATTAATGCAAACCAAGTGAAAATCATCGACCACTGATGTACACCATGAAGCAGGGAGCACAGTACTAGGAAATACTCTCCAAATTACGAGTTATAAATTTTTTCAAACATATGACAACAACGGGGAAAAAGTTTTAACTAGTAAGATATTACATAACTGTAACTAAACGTGGGAGACCAGAAAGTGGAGAAATAGTTTAGGGTAACAAGCCTTAAATGCAACCGGTTGTCCCTCCACTAAACGACCACGAGCTGGTCCTAAGAAAGCATCTCTTGAGTAATTACGAAACTTCAAAGCTGGGATACTCATCAGCGTAAATATCCTTAGATGGGTGGGTCCTACAGAGAAGCGTAGTTCCACAATTCAGTGAAATTTATTCAACCATTGTGGAACCTCAGCAAATTCTAAAGCCCACAGATAGGAAGAGGCTAAGCCTGTGGATAGCATTTATCACCTGTAAAACCACAAAAAACTCAACGTTTCCCACGATGCCCACCCCCTGACCTTGCACCAGGATGGCGAGCAAACTGCAGCCTTAAGTGGTCTGAGTCACGTTCATGCTCGTCAAATTTATAACCTGCAACATTTAGTTTGACTATTTTATCGTGCCGATGAGTGTTGCTTTCAATTACGTTTGACAAACCAGGCACATCAGACAAAGGTAATGTTGAGGGTTCAAATTGTCACTTCGTTATTAATTTCCCGCACCAAAATGACAGCTCAAATGATCAAACGACAGAAATTTGGTGTAGAACAGGTGGAAATTTTTAATATCTTATAAAATATGAGAATAATATGATCTTCTCCCAAAAAAAATAAATAAACAAAAGATAAATTTGGCTTCAACTTTAGACCATGGACAACATAAAATGATATCAATTCATACAGATCTTATGATATGGAATTAATACGTAAGAATTTATTACCAAATGCTAGAATATTTTTATACTTCATTATTGATTATACATAATGCCCGAATCTTTATAGAAATATAATCAATAGCCGGTCCAGCATGATACGTAATATTCGGACAATTGATCTTATCCTCCCTCATTAGAGCCTCCCTATCTTAGGGAGTGGGACTTATTCATTATTTGTTGAAACAGGAGGGTGGTGAGTGTGTGTGAAGTCTGAAAAAGGTACACTAAAATCTATCAAAAATGCCCAGTATCGCAACTGCAAGGGCAGCAAAACAAGGTAGCCAAAATGGCTATATAGAACAAAAAGCATTTTGTTTCCCAGCAATTGTTTCTATCTAATGAATTAGAAAAGTCAAGTTTCAGTTCTCAGAGAATATGCTTGAACAAAAGAGCAACTTTCAGTACTCTACAAAAGAAGGTACCATGAGATTTAACTCCATTAGATACCATTTTAAGGCACCTCCATTAGATACCTCAATAAGAACTACAATTTCTGTGCAGGAATACAAAAACAAGGAAAGGTATAACTAGATAGATCGAGGTGGAAATGTCAATAGAAGTGTCAAATCCACTGATCCACATCCACTAGGTCAATTTTACAAGGTCAACAATTAATTTTAACAGCATATTTCATGGGTCCCACAACTTTTCGACCTCACATTTTATCAATTTTTATCAAAATCTACTAAAAATCTGATTTTAATCCCCACCAAACACGGCTAGATCTTCACNNCCAACATCTGCAACATACACTCCTACAACCACTTTTTGTTCAAGAAGTCTTTGGCAGCTGGAGTTATTAACTTTACGATGGGAAGGAACTTCCTCGGATGTTTTTATTTTTGCCATGCTAACTTCATATCAAAAATAAACAAAATGATAGGATGGGCAAAATTCATCATAGAAGAAAGTCTCATAAAAATGAAGTTCTGAGAGATCCATCTCTCTAAATAGACTGTCACCTCTGTATCAATTACTAGCCTGGTACTTGTGCCATCAAGAGAGTTTTGTTTGATCATATATAATCCCAGTGAGAGGTTGAAGAGAGGCACACTTATAATCACTTCTAACTTCTAAGAGACCTATACAATTCTAAGTCAACTCCAGATGCATGTTCATATACAATGTGAACTGTTATGCTGTGTTCGTTGGATTGAGCAATACTCAGTATTGGCCATGAAAAGATGACCAGCAATTAAACTAAAAAATTTTCTGCACTTATTGATTGTGACCCCATATGAAAGAGAACAAGAAAATAATCTTATCAGCCAACTACTCTGCTTGCTTAAAATGCCTGCACGTCTGCATCCTGGCTCCTAGAACTGGACCTTTTCATCAAATACTACTCTTTCATTAATTCAGTGTTTGTCAAACTCACCTTGTAAAGCATTCAATGCAGCGGCTGCATGAGCTGGACTCAGAAAATCAACAAAGCATAGAACGAATGGATCACCCCCACGCTGCATGGTTTAAGTTCCAATTTGTTAATGGAATAAATACAAAAAATGATGACCGTGTGCATAAAAAAACGGCAAATATGTCCTTACATGTCTTGATTCTTTGGTCACAAGCCTTGCTTCTTTGTAGCCAACAAAAGGACGAAATATATCTTTCAACCCCCATTAATGAAACACACTTGATGGTGAAAATAAAGGGGAAACAAAGGCAAACTTTTCTACAAATGAAAGGATACGAGACACCTCCCTGCGAGTACAATTCGCAGGTAAGCCTTCCACAAAGAGTGTGCTGGTAGCATCAGGAGGGAGTGAAATTTCAGGTCTCCCCCCTCCCATCCCCATCGTCCAGCTTGCAGCCACCACTGAATCTGATCCCCCAATTTTTGTGACATGAGGATCATCAACACGATGGTGTCCACCAAGTCCACCACTCATCAATATTGTAGACTCGCCCCCAGCATAAGGTGATATTTGCTGGTACATTGCAGTACTGAGTTACACCTTCATGTGCTTGATGTATAGATACGAAAAGACACTACTGTACACACAGATTGAAACAAGAGCAGAGAGTGATTACCCCGCCTTGTAGGTATCGGTCATATGATGCATTGATCGAGTCAGTATCTCTAATGACATGGTGTCCTCTCCTTTCATCCTCGCGAGCATAATAGTTTGTCAAGTCATGGCCACTAGGCATCTCTACACGAAAATTGTAAAATAATAACTTAACAAAAATGATAAAACTTGCACCTATTTCTGAGAATCAACAAATAGGCCATACCACCGCAAAGGAAAATGTGTCAACTGACAAGTGTTATATAAAAAACTCATACCACTTCACTGTCATGCCAGTCCCCTTTATTCTTATTTATACAATTCCTTACAAATGGATTCGCAATTTTAGAAACTGATTCCGAAAACAATTTAGGGGTTATCAGTTACAGGGAAATTTAAAGGCAAATTATTACAAAATACTTATCTGCATGATCGCCAAACCCTGCATTTTACTCCTAACTCACTAAGAAACCCAGTTTCCAGAATCACAAACAGGCAAATAAAATTTACTCCAAACCCTAATTTTTCAGGAACGAAAGTTACGGTAGTCGGATCGAGGTCGTTTTCCAACGAGAGGAGTCGCCACCACCTGCTGCCGACTATCTCCGTACCTCCAAGAACCGTCCATCATATTCCGAAATAGAGATCAAGAGAGATTAGGGCTTTGTTGTGAGATTTCTTATTGAACAACGTAACTGATTTCAAGATTTATTAGGGCTTTGGATAGGGAGATTTCTGATTGAATTGACGGAATTAAACCGACTCGGCCGAAGCAAATTCCTCCCTTTTAAATTCCCCTTTCTTTATTTCAGCTAATTCATTTTCCCGAGCACTTTCTGTTTCTTTTAATTTCCATATATTTTCCTTTATTACTTCCATTTATTGGTATTTTATTTTCCAAATTTTCAAGTTACTTCATGTTTATATATAGTCCCGTTTGGCTCCCATTTTGCGAAAATGAAAATGGTTGGAGTAGCATCTTTCAAAAAAAAAAAAAAAAAAGGTTAAATTTTTAAAAAAAAAAAAAAAAAAAGGTTAAAAAAGAAAGAAAAATTTTTGATTCACGTGTATTCTTATTTCATGGAAGATTGTGTGGTTGAAAATAGAAAAAAAGAAAAAAGAAATATAATGGAATAAAAATTAAATGGGGCCAAATGGGGCATAATCTTTTTATGATGAACTAGATGGGGACCTCCAATTATTATTATTATTTTTTGGTATATGTTGTGTTTAGATAAATTTTCTTATACTCTTTGTTGACTAATTTTTAATAAGAACAAAATTTTAAAAAAAGAAAAGTACACAAAATAGCGAAAATCAGAGTTTATTTGACAGAAATTCAACAACCAACAACCTAATTACCCACTGACCCCCACTGGAGTCATGTTGCATATCATTATTCATTATACTCCTTTTGATGAAGATTACTTTGGAATCACAAAAAATTTAGACATAGACAATCGAACTTCTTAAACTTTGCATCAAGGCCTTAAATAAAAATCATATGAACTTTTAGAAAATTACATATCCCTAATAATAAACAACCTATGTTGTATATCTTTCAATAATATTCACTATCACTCAAAAATTGAAAGATTATGCAGTAAAATTGGGATTATGAAGAAGAAACCTTAATTGTGCAAATGAAAGAAAAGGAGAATTGAATATGTTAAAGTAACTAAGAGGCCCAACCTCCCTACCAATCCTTTTAAATTTACAGTAATGTCATTTTGCACTACTGAGTTTAGAATATTAATGTGACGTTAAATGAAATGTACAATTAAATAAACAACTCAATTATATATTTCATTGATTCCATCACATAGTGCATCTAAATTGGTGTTCCAACATTATTGATGGTAGATAACATTATTTTTAAGTTTAGTTTGTCTGTAGAAAGACCAAACTGTCCTCAGGACATTTCGGATACCCAAAACCCAATTCTTTTCTTTTTTTAATCAAATCTGCATATAATGGCGAATATGTATTTCAGTCTCCTTAATTAAATAAAATAAAAAAATCAATAAAGCAGAAAAAAGAAAAAGAAAATAAGGAAATATTGTTGGGCCAGTCAAAGGTCATAAGCGGCCCAAACCAAATAATACAAGACCCATTCCCATTTCCTATCCCATTTTACACTTTCAAGATTCATGGAACCTACGTACAAAGAAAAGGCACCACCGGTTCAATCGGTCTACTCGGCCGATTCACCGGAGTTCTCTCTATTGAGTTTGGCTTTAACTCGCTCCATTGTCATTGGGCTCGACGCCGAATGGAAGCCAATTCGCTCTCACCAATACCAGTCTACCTTCCCCGCAGTATCCCTCCTGCAAATCGCCTGCCTACTCGCTCCGGAAAATGGGTCAACTTATCGAAACTCGGACGATTCAATGGTCTTTCTACTCGATCTTCAAGCAATTCAGCTATCGTCAATATACGAGTTGTTAAGAAAAGTGTTTGCATCACCTAATATTATAAAATTGGGTTTTAGATTTAAACAGGATTTGGTTTATTTATCCTCCACTTTCTGCTCTCAGGGCTGCAATCCCGGTTTTGATAGAGTATGTTTTTATTATTCATTCATTTAGTCTTTTTTGTATTTTTTACTGAAGCTTTAAAGTTTTGAGCTTTCTTTTATTGCAATTTCTTAGTATTTAATTTGGTAGCTGCATATATTTCTTTACTTCATATATAACAGAACAATTTCATTTTGTGTTTTGAACATTGGTTTAAATTAGATGTGCTAGCAGTAATTCGTTAAAAGTTATGATTTTCAGCATTTGAAGATGCAAAATTGCTCACCATTTTTTGCCTTTTCAGTTTCAATTTGTTGTATACGTAGATTTCTGATCTTATGCAGACGTCCATTTCATCATGATCACGAAGAAATTTAACTAGTTCAAGTGTCTTTTGCTGTAATATGGTTAGTTAAGTAGGTTTTCTCTAGCTGGTATTTTTGCATTTAGCTATACAGATTCTATGCCTAATTCTTCGTATTTAGCTGAAAAAATGTTGGAACGTATGGAGTTCAATCAAACTGTCATTTATTCACTTGACTGTGAACGACACTGAGAAGACCTGCAGCGTTGTGGTTGTACCACACTACCACTATAATTAGTTGGTGTGCTTTCGTTGTATATTTATTTATTATTGCTCCCGTGAATAGAGATTGGGGCTTCATTCATAATAATATTCTTTGTCAATTTTTCTTGATTAGGTGGAACCTTTTATAGATATTACTAGCATATATACGTATCTACAACAGCATAAGCAACTTGGAAGAAAAATACCAAAGCAAACGAAGAGCTTGGCTGCGATCTGCAAGGAAGTTTTGGGCATTTCACTTTCAAAGGTTGGGTTTTTTTTGCGAATTTCCTGTTTCACATGTTACGAAAGTTAAGTTATAGTCTCTGTATTCATATTTTCTTTTTTGACATTTTGTTTTCATGATTTGTACAGGAACTTCAATGTAGCGACTGGTCGCAGCGCCCCTTAACCGAAGAGCAGAAGATGTATGCAGCTGCAGATGCTTATTGTTTGCTTGACATATTTAAGGTCTTCCAAGCCAAAATTGTTAGGGAAGGTTGAACATCTCATTCCTTCAATACCTTTATGGCACGTTTCGTAAGGTTGATTATGCTACATAGTATTAGATAAGAAAAAGAATTTTGTTCTTTGTTCTTTGTTTCATCCATATGATCCAATGCTGCTTTCCAGATATGTACTTATGGTCGAGACATTCTTCAGATGACCATATGAATGTGAAACTTTCAAATTTTTTAAAGTCTTGCACTATATTACATTGATGGGCATCTGGTATATTGTCTTTCCATTCGAGACATTCTTCAGATGACCATATGAATGTGAAACTTTCAAATTTTTTAAAATCATGCACTATGATTACATTGATGGGCATCTGGTATATTATCTTTCCATGATGGATACTCAACCATATTTCGACCAATTTGACATGAATGATTAATTGTTCTCCATCCGAAGCCCTGAGTTTGCCATGAAGGGTCTTTGACTAAACTTTAAAAAATCAACTGAAATAATATTGCTGAAGTTTGGCACATGGCAGTATAGTTGATTGTGTGATAATCTAAACAAATGTGGCATTGTTCATCCTCTCTTTCTTATAGCCTCTGTTATTATGCTGAGTACTTTCTGGTTCTTGCAGGATATTCTTCTCGAAATTCCAATAAAAATTGGTCATCTAACTTTGATTCGGGGTTGAAGCAGATTTTTGAGACACCTTACAGTTGCAATTTGGTAACAAGGACTAGACTTTGTGAAGCTTTAGATATGATACGTGCCAATATACCTGAATTACACAGCACCATACAAACAGATGCCGAGTTAGGTTCCATGAAGTGTTGTGAAGTTACAAAACAAGTAGATGAGGCACTCTTGTGGATTATTAGAAAATATGGTGACAGAATTTTGTTAAAGGATTCTGACAGAAAGCCAAAAACTTCAAAAAAGAAAGTTGAAAAATCTTCTGCTGGATTGATGTGCAAAGAAAAGAGACCAGAAATTACAGATGATTGGCAAGGCCCTCCTCCGTGGGATCCAGCATTGGGTGGTGATGGATCCCCTAAGTTTCTGTGTGATGTGATGGTAAATAACTTTATGTTTCCTGTTATTTGCTTATATTTCATTTAGGCTACGGAATCATAGTCATGCAATTCTATGCTCACAAATTTGTAATTCCCTTCGTCTAAGACATAACTTATAATCTTACGAAGGTAAAAGACAGCATTGATCACTCACATTTTAGTGAAGTATCAAATTAGTCGCAAACTGACCTTGTTTAAAGATGAAAAAAGCCACACTTTGTTGAAGGTCAAGTGACCAACGGTGTTTTTACACAATCTTACTAGTCGAAACCTGATATAATATTTTCAGGTTGAAGGCTTAGCTAAGCATCTACGGTGCGTTGGGATAGATGCCGCAATTCCACATTCTAAGAAGCCTGAAACCAGGTTCAATTCTGGTGAATAACTTTAGATGATTGTGACAATTTGTGATTTTTGTCAGAACTCAAAAGCATATATTTAAATAGTGTGTAATTCTCGAAAAATGTAGCTTTCTTCACTATTAACACATAAGTGTTTTATACAGGGATTTAATAGATCAAGCAGACAAGGAGAAGAGGGTGCTCTTAACAAGGGATGCAAAGCTTTTGAGACACGAGTATTTGATAAAGAATCAAATATACAGGGTGAAGAGTCTACTTAAAAATGAACAGCTGCTCGAGGTAAATATCACGTGCAGTTTCAGACTAGTCGCTTATTTCATCGCTGCTTATTGGAATTCAGCTAGGTAATTGGATGGGTTTTTACTGTTTTCCTGGCCCTTTCCGACATACGAACACAAAGTTAGAATCAAATACAAAAAATGATTTTTGTTGTTAGATTATTTATCCATGATAAGTAGTGCATGTTAAGTGCGAGGTGCTGGATAGTACAATAGATAAGATTTTTTATTTTATTTTTTTCTTAATATTGTCCAAAACTGTAGAGTCCATTTTACCTAACAAGTTGAAAATAGACTGTACACAGTTCCCTTATGGCTGAAACTGGTATATACCAGGTAATTGAAACATTTGAACTGAACATTTCCGAGGATCGGCTGATGTCAAGGTGCACTAAATGCAACGGGAAGTTCATCCAGAAACCATTATCAACTGAGGAGGCTGTAGAAGCTGCAAAGGGATTTCAAGTTATTCCTAAATGCTTGTTCAACAAGAGTATAGAGTTTTGGCAGTGTATGGACTGCAATCAACTTTACTGGGAGGTAGGCTTATGATTGTCCGTATTTATCATCTTCTTTTGGTTCTAACTTCGAAGTCTGCTGATGAGTTCTTATAAATAGACGAAGTAAAATGAAAAGAGAATAGTTGTGATGTATTTGGTGATGTAAAGTTCTGTTTGGTACTGAGTACTTGCCAGTATATTGCTCTCGTTAGAGGAGAAAATTATTCAATCCCTGAACTGCGTTAAAGGATGTGACAGAATGTTTGACAGTAATGTGTGAGAAAATTTATTTTGTTTCAAAATTAACTTGTTTACTTACACTTGACTTGTATGTAAACCTTTAGACATTAGCCAAACATGCTCTAAACGCTTCCTCCTCCCTCCTGGGCTTTCTGCCTTAGTGACAGAAATGATCTTTTATGAATAATTGAACTGTTGAAGAATTTGTCTCAGCTTACGATCAAACCTCTGGTTTCCTTTGACTAACACTTGATAATGTTGTATGAGTTTCCAATCGAGTTGCTTCAAAACTGATTATTGCATGTTTTCTTCCCTATCATTGTTCGAGAACCATACTAACACGTCCTTTCCTGTGGGTATTGTTTTCAGGGAACTCAGTATCATAATGCAGTACAGAAATTCATCACTGTTTGCAAGTTAAACGTGTAAGTTCAAGGCCATAACGTTAGGATAACCATGTTGTTCTGGAGATGAAGTGCAAGAATTTTGTTCTCCTTGCCATTCATTTATGCAAGAGAATTGCTCTTTATTTTAACAATGTCAACCAACCCCTCACCCTGAAAAACTTAAATAAAAATTGAGAAATAATTATAAACATTAAACCATGCTTTTCTGTAATTTTTATCATGGCCTCCTAGGATGATAAGAAAGCTTTGTTGTATACTATAAATTAATTGCATTTAAAGAATAGTCATGCATGATATGAAGTAATTTCTTATAGTGCAGAAGGATGTGGTTAAAAAATGACTGGTAGTGCAAATTATGTCTAAAATTTCTGTGCAGATTTGTTTCTCGTAGTGCCAAATGATTGATAAAAAAGAAGAATTTACTTCAACCAATACACCCATCCCTGCATGTACAGTTTATTTTGGGAATCTGGTCAAAAAAAATATTAGTTGGCTTGGCGCCACCCCACTACGGAAACTCAGAAATTAGAGCACAAAACTGATCTTCAAGCCCTACCTTCTTGTGATTGTCAGTATTGCATACAAGCACGCCTTTATGGTTCTATTCATTATATTATTACTTTCACATATCACGTACTAATATACTTAAAAACATGAGTTGATTAATAAAACTAGACAGAATAAGTTGTACGATAGGCAATAATTTAGCTCGTTTTTCCTTTAAGTGCCTTCCACAGATAAAGCACTTATCTTTCTTAGATTTTGGAAGTTTTTCCCATGAAGAATTGACATCTCTTGGATGAGGATCTATGGCGCATGCAATTTTTTTAATACTGTACAATTTATCTCACCGAGTTTATCATAAAGGAAAATGTTATTTGTACACTGGGATTGACATTTCTGTGTACACTCTCCTCACATGAGGGGATGGACCCCACGACAATAAAAAATCTTGTGATCGGAATGTGAGAGGAGTGTACATCGGAGTGTCAACCCCGTTGTACGTGTAGCAAAACTCTATCATAAATGTCCCACAGAAAAAGTAAGCTTCGACATTATTCCATTCTTGAGCTCATCATGCTGGATTATTAATAAACAAGATATAATGGCTATTATTAGTGAGATTTTTAAGACAATGGGGCCATCTTAGATTGCCTTAATGTACGGAATAGTATAATGATGTCTTTGAATGGACGGTGTGCTGTCCCTGATTCATCGATCCTTAACTATGAAGTGAACGTGGAAATTCAGCTTTAGTAGTAAAGACTTTGCTTATCAAATACAGGATTTCTACTACTTTTGAGTTGTGTTGTCAAAGCACTAACATTTTAAATGTTTTATTTTACTAAAACACGACGAAATCCTTGATTAAGAAGAAAAAGTGAGAAGTGGGGCCAGTTTGATTTTCATATAAGCCCATGTTTGATTATCATTATTGTAAAACTTTTTTTTTTTTCTCAAAGTTCATTTTTAATCACATATTTTCACAACAAAATAATTTGCGCTTAAAATCAAATTTTTTTTTTATTTTAAGCCACACATTTTGTGAAAATTCGCTATTTAAAAATTCATTTTTTCCTACTTTAATGATAGACAAAGGGGGGTTAAATGTTGGAACAGTTCTAATAGTTCTAACTGTAATTAGTGAATCCGCTAAAGTTGAACTAGAAAATTACCTGACCATAAAGAAAGGGTAACTTAAATTTTAAGGAAATAGCATTTTTTTCGTACTTGAAAAAGTAGGAAAGAACTTTTATTATGAAAATGAAATAAAGTGATGTGTTGTATCCATCTTTTATGGACAAGGTCACGACGAAATTTTCTACTTTTTAACAATTGAACATCATCATTATCCTATGTTGTCCCCCAAATTTAACTACATGTTTTACACACAAAAAAAAAGGCTATATAAAGGTGTGTATTTGATCGGATATATTTCAAGAAGCAAAGCTACATCCACTTGTTTAGCTGCAACTCAAAATGCGATCGAGTTTGTAAGATGTTCATATTGGTCGTATCTAATGTTTGGTTCAACTTCGATACAAGTAAAATTTATGTCATAATCGAAATTTTAAGTTAAGACAATTTTGAAGAGAAAAAACACGAGATAATAATATTTTTTATTAATCTTCAATCAAGTGTGTATCTATCATCTATGACTACACTAATTAACAGTGAACAAATATTTCGAAATTAGGAGGGTTCCACTGACATGTGATGTACCAACATCATTGTCCACATATTGTCAACTATGACGTAAGCATGTCCAATCATCTGCGATTCCCTCTAGATTTGACGGTCCAGATTGGCCCACCACATGCCCTGGGGTCCGCTCTCAACTCTTCCGAGAAATTCCACTTAACGTTTCATCCTCCAATTGGCTTCAAGTAGGCCCCAAATTATGCGCCACCATAGTTTGCCACGTGTTTCCCCTTTCTGATGTTCGAAATCAATGGTCTGGCCTATAATAGTCCCGTCAATAAAGGACATAGATTTACAAATATTATAACATTTCTATCAATATAAAATTTAAAGAACTTATGATTTCTATCGAACAAGCACAAATCACGTATTTGATTTTGTTGTCCGGAGAAATGCTTTCGGTCCATCAAACTTAATTTCATGTTTTTAATAATTAACTCGTGACAGTTCGATAAAGTGAATTTTGATGAAAAATATTTAATGAAAAAAAAAGTTAAATTTTATCATTGTACCTTTAGTACTTAAAGTATTTCACAAACATAACATGTTGTGAATGCTTCATTAAGCCTTTTGCCCTTCGTTTGACAAATTTATAAACTATTTATAAATAAGAATAATTAGAAGAATAGCAGGGAGCCTCAAGAAATGTATGTACAATAATGAATTTGCGGTTATGAATGTATTTTTAAAGTTAATGTTTGACTAAATCTATAAATTAATTTATACATTTTATCCAAATAAAGACTAAATCTATTTTATTTCATGTACTAAATTATTTAACATTGTTGTAAATTTCTCATTATAGTCGGACAATATTATTCAACGTAATAAAAGTAAACACTAAATTCAAATTTTGAAATGGGTTTTGTAAATTCATAAATTTGAATTACTGTTCCAAGGCAGCCTCAAAGTTTCCTTAGTTCAGGTGGTTTTTTGCCGGAAAAGAACATTGACTAACGTTAAAGCAACGTCCAAAGGTCTACTTATATATGAATATGCGTAATCAACCTTAATTTAATCATGCAAACCACTACTAATTCATCATGCGATCCTCCCATATTTAACTAGACAATTTGGTTTTTGTTTTTGTTTTTTTAAATCAAAATTTCAATTTTTGATCAGAAGTTTAAAGTAAAGATATTTTCATGATGCTTCAATATCCCTTTTTAAAACATTTAATCCATTTGTACAGAATAAAGTTTCATAAAAAATTGTCAGAATACTCTCATGATATGGAGCTTATCGTGAAAAAAAAAAAAAAAAAACCTCATCCACCTTCTATGTGTGTGTTCTGACAGGTATTTGTAAAGAAGCATTCTGTATGTCAAGCAAAATTGTTTTTAAAATGAAGAATTCCATTCCATTCCATTATAAATAAATAAATAAATATATTTATATAAGTTTGTCAGACAACTCTATCACCCTAACCCCACTCCACCCCACCACCCAGAATTTCCACTCACCACCAGCATGGAACAGCCAAAGAAAGCCCTTTAAGTTGCTTTCTTGCTTTAAAACCAGCTGCTCAAAAGTGGGTATTTTCCTCTCCTTTGACACTCTCTCCACACCTTTTTCTCTCTTGCTTTTTCCATTTCTTTGTGTTATGGATACTACTCTGTGGCCAAAGGTAAAGCGAAAGAAATAAACCGTGTTTTTTCTCAATCATATCATGATAACATCTTTCTAGGGTTGGGAATTTAGCATGTCTTTGCTTTGGGTTTGGAAAAAAATTTAAAGCTATTTACTTTATCTGCAGATGATCAGCCCCCACTAATTTTTGTTCCTTTGAATTTAGTCTTTTGAGATGTTTTCTTGCTTATGTATAGTATTGGACACCTTTTTTCCTCTCTCCTCTCTTCCACCAAAGCTAATTAATTTTCTTCCTTTTCTTGGTTTAATGTTATAGCCCTAAAAAATGTAAAGTAATTCCCCCCTTTTCTTCGGTTTTCTTTTCAGTACTCTTACGTGTTATTTGAAAATCTTTTCTCCGGTTATTGGGTTTAGTTATAGAGTGATTTTACTGGATTCTTATCTCATCTTTATGGTTTGTGAGAGTTTTTCGTGTGCAAGTCATAAACGAAAATAGCTTTGTCGTTGAGGGTGAACTACGATAAATCTCTGTGTTTGTATGCATGTTTTCTGATATCATTTTGCTTATTATTGCTCTCCTAATTGAGATTACGGCTTTATCCCAAATTAACATCCTTTTCTCTTCAGGATATTGGGGTTTCGCCGAAGGAGGTTGAAATCTCAAGGCCAGCCATAGAAAAGAAGCCAAGGCCTGAAAAGGAACAAGCTTTGAACTGTCCAAGATGCAATTCTACAAACACAAAGTTCTGTTATTACAACAATTACAGTCTCTCTCAGCCAAGATACTTTTGCAAGACTTGTAGGAGGTATTGGACAGATGGGGGATCTTTGAGAAATGTTCCAGTGGGTGGCGGTACAAGAAAGAACAAGAGATCTTCTTGTTCATCGTCATCATCAGTTTCATCAAAGAAAATTCCAGATCTGACCCCACAAATTTTTTCTTCTCAAAACCCTAAGATTCATGATGGGCATGACTTGAATTTAGCTTATCCACCCACTAGTAGTCATTATAATGGAATATCAGAATTTGTTACTTTACCTTTTGGTGATCACATGAAAACCCTAAATCCAGGAAACCCTAATTCTTCGTCTTCTGCCAATTCATCTCATTTTCCAGTTATGGAATTTCTCAAGGCAGGGATCACCTCAAGAGGACTGACCAATACTATTATGCCGGTGCCGGTTTCGGATTCCAACACAATGTATACATCTGGATTTTCTTTGAATACTGAATTCAAGCCAACCCTCAATTTTACCCTGGATGGACTTGAAAATGGTTATGAAAATTTGCAAGGAGTTCAAGATCATACAAACTCATCAAGGCTTCTGTTTCCGTTTGAGGAATCGAAGCTGGTCGCACCGACTGAATTTGAGCCAGAAAGAGCGCAAGGAGAATCCAATGGGTACTGGAATGGGATGTTAGCTGGAGGGTCATGGTAAGGTCGACCAAATAGTTCAGTCATGTTCAATATTGCGTAGTAGACGTATTCGAGGAAAACTATGAGTGTGGAGTCATTATCTTTTGCTTGCTTTTTTACATGGGGAGTGACATATTGATTTTGTTTGAGGTATGATCAAAACTAACAGATTGTGTGCACGTGTTCATTTCATCTTTCTTTCTGAGCTTTTGGATTATTTTCCAAATTTCATCTCGTGATTGATTACTTTTGTTCGCCAGAATTTGCCGTTTCATATATATGTAAATGCAATAATCTTTCTTTAATTAGGGTTTTCTTTAAAGCTGATAATATAGTACTTTTTTTTTTTTTTTGCTGTACGTTTTCTTTTATCAATGCACTTAGACAATTTTTGGTCCCTTTGTTTCTTGTTGTCTTAAATCTTGATCTTGACGTAACAATTTGAAAGTTTTCAAAAAATAAGGGATTTTATGGGCATTGTTAAGGATCTTAACATAATCCTATGACTCCAGAGATTGTACATAGCAATCAACAAGCCGCCGTGTCATTTTTAATGGTACTGTTGTATACTGGAGAGTCGACTTTATACTTGAATCGAAGAATCAAATGTTGCATTGATGGTTGGCTTCAATTCATTGCCAGAAGGTCACTTCTTTTCTTTTTCTTTTTCTGGCGAATAATGGGTCATAAATTGTCAGGTCTTCTTGAGATTCTTCCTATCTTTAAAGCACATTTTGGAAAGCAGATCTCTAGATATCTGCAGAAGAATAACCAGATAGAATTAATTACTAGGTAAAACCCATGATTCCTAGCTTTATTTCACATGGTACACCACTGGTTATCCTAGCTTTTAAGAGGGTAATATGCATGGGGACGTGTACTACATGTTCCAAAATTTATTTTAATATATATAGCTGTATTCATTTTAATTAAATCTCTCAAATTAATTCAGTTTAATTTAGTATGCATGAATTATTCTTTATTTCTAACTCAAAAAATTTCAATATAAAATGTTTGGATTTTTGGAGAATACTAACTAAGAGTGTTGTGTTTATCGATTATTTTATTTATTCCTATAAGTTGATCATATGAAAGACGGAGGCGGAATGTTAACATGAATTGAATCCCTTGTAAAGACAAATTCTAGTTGAAAAATGCAGTTCATATTCTGCAGGTTTAAACGTATGCGCCACTTATTGAACGTAATTTAAGTAATTACATTTATTGTCCTAAATAAAATATTGGATAAAATGGTCCAACGTGATAGTGAAGCAAACAAAGATCTTAAATTTGAAAATTGTTGTTACACATAAGTTTCGAACATATATAGCTAAAAATATAAATTTGACACACATGAAGAAGCATGTTAAAAGAATTCTAATATACATTTTCTTTTTTCTTTGCTCCCGTAATTTAGGCCTCGTTTGGTACACATTAATGTAAAAATGAGAATGAAAAATATAGTCGTTACAGGCTCCACACAAGAGATATAAAATCAAATATGGTAGTTTGATGTGATGAATAACGATCATATTTTTCATTTTAATGGACAAATAATGAAAAACAAACGGAGGCTTAAATTCTTAAACGAAGTAATTAATGTACAATAGTTTCTTTCTTACTCATGGACTTTTGTGTCCTTGAATTAATGCTTTAGTATTTGTGTCCGCTTGATGATGATGATGATGCATGCATTTCTATAGAAAACTAGGCATTGCATTTTTATATCTGATGTTGGCTCCACAAAACATTCCCCCGGCAAGCGTGCTCAAGAATTCTCCCCCACCACTTAGCATATCCTACAAATGTTGGCCAACAATATAATTTAACCTAGATTAAAATCAAATTAAATTTTAAGTGTTTGTTCGGTAGTCATTATTGTTCATGTATATA